TGACGGAGACTCTTACCAGCCTCTTGCTACCTTTACTGCTGAGCCGGGCTCGGGTCTCTACACTCTTCACACTGGCCCGCGTGCGCCGCAGCAGCAGCCGGAGCAGCAGCAGCAGCAGCCGCAGCAGCAGCAGCAGCAGCACCAGCGGCCGCACCAGCAGCCCCCCCTACTGCCACTGCCCCCGGTTCCCCCCCCCCGTTCGGGTCCCCGCGTCTCACCAGGTTGCTACGTCCCCCCAGGTGTCTGTGTCGTGTCAGGTTCCTACGTCTGTTCCAGTCGCTGCGTCGTGCTCCTGCCGGTCGCTTGCCCACCCCACCGTTCTGTGGCACCACCGGATGGGGCACCCGTCCCTTCCACGTCTACGCGCTATGTCTAGTCAGCGTCTTGTCCTAGGCCTCCCACGTGTCTTGCCGTCGCTGCCGCCTTCGCCTGCGCCGCCGTGTCGTCCCTGCGTCGAGGGTAGGCTGCGCGCCACCCCTCACTCCTCCTCCCTTCGTCCGGCCACCGAGCCTTTTGAGACGCTTCACTTGGACGTCTGGGGCCCAGCCCCTCGTCTAGGCCCTGAGCGTGAGCGTTACTTTCTGGTGGTAGTTGACGACTTCTCCCGCTACACCACAGTGTTCCCTCTGGCGAAGAAGTCTGAGGTGACTTCTACGCTGATCAGGTGGTTGCTCACCACTGAGGACACTCGTGGTCGTCGTGTCAGCTGTCTCCACTCCGACCGTGGGGGTGAGTTTCGCTCCGGCATTCTCGCTGGATTCTGTCGCGAGCAGGGCATTCGTCAGTCCTGGACGCTTCCAGAGTCCCCACAGCAGAATGGTGTTGCTGAGCGCCGCATAGGCCTGGTCATGGAGATCGCCCGCACCTCCCTTACTCACGCCTGTGCCCCCCATTTTCTGTGGCCCTACGCGGTCAGGTACGCCGCGCACCAGCTGAACCTCTGGCCACGTGTCTCTCGACCAGAGGTTTCACTGACCAGTCTTTGGACAGGGTCCCCTGGTGTTGCGTCGCGGTTTCGTGTCTGGGGGTGCTTGGCTCTTGTCCGCGACACCTCCGCGGACAAGCTCTCGCCTCGTGCCGTCCCCTGTGTCTTCCTTGGTTTCCCTGAGGACTCCTCTGACTTCACCTTTTACCACCCTCCCTCTCACCGGTTCTTTGACTCCCGTGACGTCCGTTTCGAGGAGTCCACTCCGTACTACGTCAGGTACCCCAGTCGAGGTCTCCCGGTTCCTCCTCCCCCCCTCTTCCTGATTGCCGTTCCCCCTCCTGCTCCCCCGGTACAGCCTCCCCCCCCTGGTCCAGCCCCGTCAGGTGTGTCCCAGGCTACCCCTCCTCCTTCGGTAGCCCCTCCGGTACAGCCTCCCTCCCCACAGTCCTCCTCGCAGCGTGCCGCTGGTGCTAGCTCTCGAGAGGTTGGTGCGGCGCCTGTTCCTGTACCGGTTTCTGGTTCTGGGGGTGCTGGAGTTGGAGCTGGAGTTGGAGCTGGAGTTGGCACTGGAGTTTCTGGTTCTAGGGGTGCTGGAGTTGGAGCTGGAGTTTCTGGTTCTGGAGTTGGAGCTGACCCGGTGGGTGCAGATGACTCTTGTCGTCCGGGAGCTGGTGCTGGCCGCGCGGACACTGGGGGTGCTGCGTCTAGGGGTGGTGGTGCGCCTCCTTCGGGTTCAGGTGAGCCTGGTTCTGGAGCTGGTGTTGGTGCTGCCTCTGGGGGTGGTGCGCCTAGTTCTTCTGAGGTGGACTCTGGAGCTGCCGCTGCTTCGGACACTACTCCACCCCCCCACCCCTACCCGACTAGGCACCAGGCTCGTGTTCGCCGTGCCCGTGACGAGCAGCTGGCGTTGGAGAGAGAGGAGAGGGAGTTACAGCGGCTGGAGGAGCAGCAGCAGCAGCTGGAGCCGCAGGAGCAGCAGCAGCAGCAGCAGCTGGACCCGCAGGAGCAGCAGTCCCAGCAGCAGCCGCGTCCGCAGCAGCAGCAGTCGCAGCCGCAGCAGCAGCAGCCACTTCCTCCTCCTGTCTCGGGTCTTCGGATCCTTGGTCTCCCCTCCCCTTCTCCTCCCTCCTCCGCCTCTCCTCCTGTCTACGGTCCCACGTTTCCTCCTCCTGACTCCTCCCCCGCTGTTTTCCCCAGTTCTCCGCCTTTGTCCTCTCCTCCTCCGTCTCGTTCTTGGGCTACTCGTCGCTCCCCTCGTGCTTGTCCCTCGTCTCCTGTTCCCTTGACTGACCTTCGTACTGCCTTCCTTCTTTCTAGTCCACCCCGTCCGTCTCAGTCTGTGCTTCCGTCTCCTCCTGAGTCGGCCCTCACTGTGTCGCTCCCTACTCCTGTCACTGACTACTACCGCACGTACCGTCCTGTTCTCTCTCGTGTTCTCGCCTCTCTTGTTACTCACCCTCGTGCCTCTGTGTCCTCTGTGTCCGCTCTTACTGCCGCAGTTACTGACTTTGCCTCTACCCGCCGCCTTGACTACGCCACCACGCTTGTGGCTGCTCCTCCTACCAGTCCTCTGGCCGTCGGGGGTGTGTCTGCCCTTGGCTGTGACGCCCTAGAGGACAGGCAGTTTGAGCTAGAGTTCCTGGCGGCCGCTTCCCCTCATCTCTGTGCCATGCTCCTCGCCCCTGAGGGTGACCCCGACGCCCTTGACATTCCGACTCCTCGCACTTACGCTGAGGCAGTGTCAGGGCCTTGGGCCTCTCAGTGGAGAGCTGCCATGGACGCAGAGATGGCCTCCTACAGATCCACAGGCACCTACGTCGATGAGGTTCCCCCCCCTGGGGCGAACGTAGTCGACGGCATGTGGATCTACAGGGTGAAGCGGCCACCGGGATCTCCCCCGGTCTTCAAGGCGCGCTACGTGGCTAGAGGTTTCAGTCAGCGCGAGGGAGTTGACTTCTTTCAGACCTTCGCACCTACCCCGAAGATGACCACTCTTCGGGTGTTACTACACGTAGCAGCACAGAGAGACTACGAGTTACACTCTCTCGACTTCTCCACTGCTTTCCTTCAGGGCAGCCTACACGAGGAGGTTTGGTTGCGTCGTCCCTCGGCCTTCACTGGCACCTTCCCTCCTGGGACCCAGTGGAGGCTGAGGCGACCTGTTTACGGTCTTCGCCAGGCCCCTCGTGAGTGGCACGACACTCTGCGTTCTACCCTCTCTGACCTTGGGTTCCAGCCGTCTTCTGCCGACCCGTCGCTGTTCGTTCGTCGTGGCTCCACACCGTTCTTTGTTCTGGTCTACGTCGACGACCTCGTTTTCGCCACTCCGGACAGGGTTGCTTTGGCAGACGTGAATTCCGAACTGCAGAAGAGACACACGTGCACTGATCTTGGTGAGCTGCGCCACTACCTTGGCCTGCAGATCACCAGGGACAGAGCCGCTCGCACCATTACACTCTCACAGTCACACATGGTGCAGCAGGTCCTTCAGCGGTTCGGGCTTCAGCACTCCACCGTACAGCGCACACCTCTAGCTGTTGACCACAGACTCACTGGTCCCTTTCCTGACGAGCCGTTTGAGCCTAGTGGTCCCTACGCAGAGCTTGTGGGTTGCCTCATGTACCTGATGACTTGTACTCGCCCGGACCTCACCTTCCCTCTCAGCATCCTTGCGCGCTTTGTTGCGCCAGGGAGACACCGTCCTGTTCACTGGACGGCAGCTGTGAGGGTGGCGAAGTACCTAGCGGCGTGGGGCTAGTTCTTGGAGGGCAGCAGTCTGTCGTACTCACTGGTCACTGTGACTCCTCTTACGCTGACGACGCTGAGACTCACAGGTCTACTCAGGGGTACTGTTTCAGTCTGGGTTCTGGAGCTGTTTCCTGGCGTTCCACGCGCTCCTCTTCTGTCTCTACCTCTACAGCTGAGGCTGAGATTTACGCTGGTGCCATGGCGGCACAGGAGTTACGGTGGTTGACCTTCTTGCTCGCCGACCTTGGTGAGCGGCCGAGCTCTGCACCGACCTTGTTTACTGACAACAAGGCGTCGATCCTCCTATGTCGTGAGCCGCGACTGGAGAGCAGAGTGAAGCACATTCACGTCAGGTACTTTCTTCTGCGAGAGTTGCAGAGGCGTGGACAGGCTCGCTTCGAGTTTGTAGAGTCCGAGGCCAACACTGCAGACATCTTCACCAAGGCGCTTCCGCCTTGTGACCACCAGAGGTGTTGTGTGCAGTTAGGCCTTGTTGACACAGGTTCTAGTCATGCGTAGACTTGAGTTTATTGCCTGCTTCGTCTGTACACTTACTATATATACTTGTGATCTCTTGGACTGGCCTTGTGGCCACTGTTGCTTGTGCTCTGAGTGTGTGGTGACGTTGTGATCCACCCTGAGCTTTGTTTTCTTTTGGACTGGTCTTGTGACCGTACTCTTTTTTGTTTTTGCTAGACACCCCTCACTTAGGCTATGGGGGTGTGTCAAATGTTGTAGCCTGTAGTGAGGTTTGTCTTAGGGGGTACAGAAGTTAGGGTTTGTCATATGTACCCCAACCAACATCAATGCAACATCCATTCCTCATTCTGACATTGCCATCTTCTGCTCCTGCTGCTGCTTCTATGCCATTCCCCACTGCTGCCGACTTGGCATGCACACCCTTGTTTATATAAAAAAAACTTCTCTTTATAAGATTTACCGTACGGGACACCATGAACGTTCCATTTACCACAATTTTCAGAGCAGTAAAGGATAAGACACATACGGTATGTCTCATATCCAAGTGATGACAACATGCCTTTCACACACGCAGTCAAGGATAAGACACATACCGTATGTCTCATATCCAAGTGATGACGACATGCCTTTCACACACAAGAGTCACACTTATTTTTCAGGGTTCTACGTAAAGCAAAAGCACTCTAGTGTGGGCACGGACAAAAGGATGGCCCTGAGGGGCGTGCTGTACACACAACGCGATTGCAGCAGGGTTGTCCATTCTTGAGACCAACCTGATGCAACAGGGCAGAGAGGAGCACAACGCTCCATAATCTTGGGGCCATAAGAAAACAATATCTTCAAATTACATGCCACATGCTACAGCACAAACCAGCACTGCAAAGATCAGGGTTTTAGGGTTTCAGGGTTGGATGAACACACAAAACATGATTCGGCCATTTGCTGTTCATCCCCCATCAGCTTCAATGATGCGCACCATAAATCCTGCTTTGCATCGCACTGCACTGTATCGCATATGCTGCAATGCTTCTATCTTTCCACAGTGCATCGCCTGAACGCCACAGAGTACGAGTGGCGGGTGCAGCTCCAACGCTCGTCCGTCCGCCCTATCTGCCACTGGCTGATCCAATCACACTCCACTCGCTCCCACCCATCCCCACCTCCCTCCACTGCCTTCCCTTGCCCAGTATTCTTAACCAGCTGCTCAAACTTTCCTGAGTTCCTCTGTGGTTTTTTACTGTGCCTGTTTTTCCTAGGCTCCCTTGTCAGTTGTGCATTCCCTCCCCTGCCCACGTGCTCCTTGTGATGATCTTGGCCTGGGTCACATTGCTCCCCCCCATTATCCACTTCATTGTCATCCTGCTTCCACTCCTTGCCCTCCCCCGCACCCTCCTCTTTCCCCTCATCATTCTTTTCCTCCTCTTCTTCCTCTTCCTCCTCTTCCTCCTCTTCTTCCTCTTCCTCCTCTTCCTCCTCTTCCTCCTCTTCTTTCTCTTCCTCCTCTTCTTTCTCTTTCTCCTCTTCCTCCCCGTCTTTCTCTTTCGCGTATTCCTCTTCTACTTTCTCCTTCTCTGCCCTCTCTCTTCTCCGCTTCAGCCTGCCACCCCGTCGCCACGTCTTCAAGCCAGGGAAGCGCCACGTCAGCAGGTGATGACCGCAAATGCCGCCCTCCTTCTCCCCCACGAGGATATACTCCCTCACTGACGCCTGCCGCCGCATGGCTACCGTCCAGTCCACTCCTAGGGGCTGATTGCATGGGCATGGGAGAGGGGAGAAGACGAGAAGGTGGGAAGATGTCCAAGGTGCACAAGGACATGCGCGGCAATATACTCGTACGCTGATGACAAAAAAGAGAACATGAAGGCAAGGGACAAAGTTCAAGAGCACGGGCACACCGGCCGAGATGGAAAAAGAACAGATGTTGACATTAAGGATTAGGGACAACGGACTTACATGGAGCAAGAAGCACAGAAACAGAGGATATGAAAGGCAAGAGTGGACCTTGGAGAAGAAGACGACAAGTTTGACTGAAACTGGAATGAAACCGCAGCATTGTTACTCAAGCGGTACTTGGATTAGATTCTGGGCGAACATACAGCACTGTTACCCTCCCATGCCTCACCATCCAGCATGCGATCACAATATGGGGCTTGTATGCCGCAATGGCAGTTTCTGCATCACACGCTATCACTTCCTCGCCTGCCTCCACATGATCAATGTCCATTGGACCTCCGCTGCCCTCCCTTGGACCTCCACTGCCCTCCCTCGAATCACCATAGTCGGCACCAGCGAGGCTGCGTGTGGCAGCGACACCGCCAGGCAGCCTACGAGGCATGGCATCAGTGGCGATCACTCTCATCCACAGCCCCTCCAACCTCACCCACTCACTGCCAGTCCCCCTCTCCGTGTCCCTCCTCCTGCCATTCCTCCTCCCTCCTCCCTGTTCTTCATGTTGTTGTCCCCCTTCCTCCCTCATCTCACCCTCCTCGCCCTCCCACTCTGCACCCTCCCCGTCTGCGCCCCACTCTCGCAAGCACTGCCGCAGCTTGCAGGCCAGCAGGCCATCGCCTGCCCCCACCTGCCTGCCGCACGCGGGAGGGGCGAGAGAAGATGAAGATTGTTGAGAGGAGTGGAGACGGGCAGATATGAAGAAGCGTGCATGCCGGCACATGCTTCCATCTGAGGAGTGCATGCCGGCACATGCTTCCATCTGAGGAGTGCATGCCGGCACATGCTTCCATCTGAGGAGTGCATGCCGGCACATGCTTCCATCTGAGGAGTGCATGCCGGCACATGCTTCCATCTGAGGAGTGCATGCCGGCACATGCTTCCATCTGAGCAATGGCAGTTGAGGGTGAGGAGAAGAGAGTGGTGAGTATCTGAGCAAATGGTGAGGCAGGGGAGGGGAGGGAGATCTCAGAATGACATGGTAAGGTTGCAATGGACAGGTGCAGGGAAGGAAGAGATAAACCCCCACTGTGAGAATGAACGAGCAGGAGCTTGGGTGTGAAGCTTCGCAGCACGCTTCATAGCATGGGAGACAGGCCATAGAAGAGAGAACATAGAAGACAGAGCATATAAGACAGAGCGTGGAAGGCAGAGGGTGGCAGGCAGAGGGTGGCAGGCAGAGGGTGGCAGGCAGGGCATGCAATATACAATCCGCCACAATGTGCCTCGCTCCTGCCTGCACTGCACCCCCAGCAGCAGCAGCAGCAGCAGCAGCAGCAGCAGCAGCAGCAGCAGCAGCAGCAGCAGCAGCAGCAGCAGCAGCAGCAGCGGCGGCGGCGGCAGCAGCAGCAGCAGCGGCAGCGGCAGCGGCCCACCTCCAGCACGGTGAGGGATGTGAGCCCACTCGTGCGCCTGTAGTGCCCTGCACGCTCGCTGGGGGGCATAGAAGGGGGCAGGGCATGGGAGGAGGAAAGGCATGGGAGAGGCAAAGCATGGTGGGGATGAGAGGCTGTTGGGGGCGCATCAAAAGGGAAGCCTGCATGGCATGGTTTATGCAAAAGCAGTCCGTGAGAAAATGCAGATGGCATGGCGGAGAGGGTGGCAGGGGCGGGAGGCAAGAGCAGGGCAGAGGAAGGAACACCAGGGGCGGGACCCCCGGATTCTCCAGTGTTTTCGACAGTTTCCGCTCCATTGCTACAGGAGACAGCAACCACGGCAGTAAGGAAGAGAGACAAGAGAGACAAGGAGGGGCTGGGATTGCTGGACTGGAGTATGACGGACATTGGAGTGTGAGTGTCTGACCGGATGTAAGCAGCGAGGGCGAGCAGCATCTCCTGTGTGAGCACCTCGTAGTGCACCCTTGCTGCCATGCCCGGCCCACTGCCCTGCCCCCCCTCTCCCACTGCTGGCATCACTCCCACCGCGCACCCCCCACGGTGCCTCTCAGAATCAGGATGTTCCTGCTGCTGCTCGCTCGCCTCCCTACTCCCCTCGCCTGCTCCAGTGGCTACCTGCCACGTGGCAGGCCAGCTCAGCCTGCCAGCTGTGAAGGCCTTCCACTGCTGGCATCCGTGGCACGTGCAGGAGATTACGCCCCCTGGGGTGATCTGAGGAGGCGTGCATGACAGAGGGGACAGAGGGGGGTGCAGGCGAGCAGGGGGTATGGTGAGGGGGTCAGGGGAACAGGAGGTGCAGGGGGGCATGGAGAGAGGGGAAGGGGAGCAGGGGAGAGGGGGGCAGGAGGAGGGAGCAACTGAGTACGAAACGAAGCCCCCTGGGATGATCTAAGGCACAGTGTGAGGCGAGAGGGGAGAGGCGAGAGGGGAGAGGGGAGAGGCGAGAGGGGAGAGGGAGAGGGAGAGGCGAGAGGCGAGAGGGGAGAGGGGAAGAGGAAAAGAGAGAGTTAAGGGGGGGCAAGGGGGGCATGTTGAGGGGTTAAGGGGGTGAGGCCGAGAGAGGCGGCTGGGGAGGCGGATGGGGAGTGATATAATGGTTGTGAATTGATGTAGACCACTCGACTGTAGGTGCAACGATCAGTGCAAGTGGAGACGGGGGAGGAAGGCGGATCGGGGAATAGAAGCAGGCCGCGTGCGGCATCTGTGGGAGAGGTGATAAGCCGGGTTGTGGGGAGGGGACAGAGGGGCGGGCACTGGGGCAAAATCGCGGAGGCAAAAGGGGGGCAGGGAACAGGGGGAGACGGCGGGACGAGGCGCTCTAATGGAAGGGCTGCTTGCGCGTTGGGTTACACGCAAGCCCTCTTGGCAGGTCCGTCGCTCGAGGAGGGGAATAGAGGCCAAGGTAGAATGGGCGGCAATATAAGGTTGAAAAGGAGGGGGTTGACTGGAGGGAGGGAGAGAGGGGCGAGGGTGGGAAAAGGTGCCGTGCCTGGTATCCGTTTTCGGGAAATCAACAATCACCCGAGCCGCACCTGAGCCGCGTTCGCACTGGTCCCTTCACTGCAGGTCAGGGCAGGGCACCGCGTGGGGCGGATGAGCGCATCACGCGGACGTGCGTAGGCGGGAGGGCTCCAGCACAATTCACTCGTCGTGCCTCACGGGGAGAGCCGCAGGGAACGAGCGCGGAACGGGGAGCATCAGGGAGCGCGGCGCAGGGAGCGCGGGGGGTCGGTACGTTTGACGAGGCGACCGCGCCGAGCTACTCCACGCTTCGCCTCTCACAACTAACATTAGAATGCGTCACCTCTGTGCTTGGGTCGAGCGCATAGTACTCATGCGTGCTGCTAATGCGCGGGACTGACGACCCATCAGCGCACGCGGCAGTGCCGCACCATCAGCGCACGCGGCAGTGCCGCACCATCAGCGCGGTAGTAGCATCAGCTCATGCGCACTCGGCGGGAGTCACCTGCGGGGTGCACGAGGAGCCGTCGAAAAGCCCGAACGCAGCTACGACGTCGCAGAACGCGGGGAGCCCGAGGGACGGCCGGGAATGCGCACTGCGGCCTGGCAGGCCGTGCGTCGCCGAGTGCACGCGCGGAGCTGCCATGCACGCACGAACCGCGCGGCTGGATGCTGGAACGCCGCTGTCGCACGGAATGGTTCGCACCGGGGAGGCACTTCAGCGGACAGTCACGAGCGCGAGGGACGGCTTGGAGTAGAAGCACGGAGCCGCCATGCACGCACAGGGAGGTTGCTTCTGAAAGGAAAATGTCTGCAGCGCTGAGCCGGAAGAATGGTTAGGAGCGAAGAGAAGCACTTTAACCAACAGTGGGCGAAGCTCGGTAAGGCTCGGTGAAGGCCGCAATCACCCACCGCATTTTTGTTACAGTATCTCGTTGTTTTAGCATTTGTACCGGTAGTTTTTATAATCCTAAATTGCTTTGCACTCTAACTACCTTCAACGATTCTGACATGAGCAAGATCTTCATACCGTACCTTGCACATTTTTTATGCTATGTCTAAAAATCATACAGGAGGCTAAAGATATGCCATCTAAGGAACCAATCCACACCCTTTTTCCCCATCAGTCGTTCACTATCGCTGGCCCCTGTGCACCTCCACCCTCAAGTGCTCGCTCCTCCAGTTTCTCCCACACCCTCCTCGCCATGCGCTCATATGTCGCCACCACTGCCTCCTCTGCCCCACCACTCCCAGTGCCTGCCCCCTCCTCTGCTGCTCCCCCACCTTCTGCCCCTCCAGCTTCTGTTCCCCCTACTTGGGCTGCCCCGCCTTCGGCTGCACCACTATCAGCCGACCCACTGTCTGCTGCCCTGCTTTCTATCCCACTAGCAGCAGCGGCTGAGGCGCCGAGAGCAACGGGGAGGCCGCTGTCTGAGCGACTGCGGATGGACGGCAGCAGAGGCACCTGGGAGAGGGGGGAGGAAGCGCAGAAAGAGGGGGGGAAGGGGAGGGGAAGGGGCAGAGAGAACAAGGGGAGTGGGAGAGGGAAGGAGAGGAGAAGCCACGAGGAAGTGAGGAAAGGAAGGTTGCTTCAGGACAAGAGAGTAAGGAGTGGGGAGGGGTGGAGGAGGGAAAGGAGGCCAAGAGTCGGAGGAAGGGTATGGGTGGGACGAACAAAACGGACGCAAAAGAGGCAGGGCACAGGAAAAAGCACATTTATCTCTGCTGAAATCGCCTCTGTCTTAAGTGTGGAGGAAAGCCCACCCACCTTTCCACGGAGCTTGTGTAACTTCTGAACTTCCTAATAAATCTGTAATTGTCAGGAATCCACGTGTGCTGGCAATTCAACTCTCCAGCAACCCACCTCTGCCATCTCTGGCACTCTCAGCAATCCACCTCTGCCATCTCTGGCACTCTCAGCAACCCACCTCTGCCAGAAACTCGATCTCCAGGTCAGCGGCAGCCTGTCGGGCCCCTCCATGGCCGAAGATGTTTGAGCGGTGGGAGCAGGCCGGGCAGGTGAAGTAACTCATGTTCTCCACCACTCCCAACACCTGCATGCAGGGGCGGTGGCAGTTGCATGGAGGGGCGCACGGAGGCGTGTGGAAGGTGCACAATTGGAGAAGAGATGGTATTTGGAGCCTGCACAGTCTTGAGAGGAGCCGCTGCGCCCCAATTTGACAGAAGGCAAGGTAAAAGCTGACTCCTGCCAAATCATGCAACTATCACAGCACCCACCATGCCTCTATCGCAGCACCCACCGACACGTTGACTTGATAGAACATCGTGGCTCCCACTCACACTGACCACCACGCCACAGCCAAATCACAGCTCCCACCATTGCACCATCCCACCAGCAGAGCACCCACCCCATCGCCCACCATCCAAGAACCCCATCGCCCACCATCCCACAACCCCATCGCCCACCATCCCACAACCCCATCGCCCACCATCCCACAACCCCATGGCTCACCGGCACGTTGACCTGTCGGAACATGGTCACTCCCCGCCGCGCATCCATCAGTGCGAGGTCCTGCGGTGTCGACACCACCACCGCTCCTGGTAAGGGGACGGGTGGAGGGGAGGACAGGTGGATGGGTGGATGGATAAATGGGTAGATGGGTGGTCCGTGGACAAATGGAAGAGTGGGAGGGAGGAGGGTTGCGAGCTACTGAAGCGAATGAACCAGTCGCACTTACCCACCTCCACCTCCCTGGACCAACCTCCTCACTGCCACGCAATACGGACACCACCCGCACACACACCAACCCACCCCCACAGCTTCCTCCTGTGCTGCTGGACTCATACCACTGCATTCCATCCATCGCATCACACCCCATCCTATGCTGTCCACCATTTACCTGAGAGGCGGATGCGCTGGCTCATGCTGAGCTGCACATCCCCCATGCCGGGCGGCATGTCGACCACGAGCACGTCCCAACCCATCCCTTCCAACCCCATCTTGCCTGCCACTTACCTGACAAGCGGACCCTCTGGCTCATGCTGAGCTGCACGTCACCCGTGCCGGGCGGCATGTCCACCACGAGCACGTCCAGCCGCCCCCACTCCGTCCCCCTTACAAGCTTCTCCACCGCGGCCATCACCATGGGCCCGCGCCACACGGCCGCCACGTCAGCAGGCATGAGGAAGCCCATGGACATGCAGAGCACGCCGTGTGCCTGCAGTGGCAGCATGCGCGCATTGGGGGAGGGTGATGCCAGCACGGGGCGGCCAGCTGTGTGCAGGCCGAGTAGCTTGGGCAGTGAGGGGCCGAACACGTCCGCGTCTAGTAGCCCCACCTGCAGGCGCATGTGGCGTGAAAGGGCTACTGCTAGGTTCACTGCGGTAGGGAGGGGTGAAGGGAGGGAGTGGCACAGTGCAGGCCAAGCAGGTTGGGCAATGAGGGGCCGAACACGTCGGCATCCAGCAGCCCCACCTGCAGGCGCATGTGAAGAGAAAGGGCTACAGCTAGGTTCACTGGGGGGAAAGAGGGGAGGGAGTGGTGGGGGGGAGAAGGTTGGGCAAAGGGGAGAAGTGGGGAGCGAGAGGTGGATGGAAGGAGGCAGAGGCGAGCATCCCCGCCTGCAGGCGCATGTAATAGGGAGGGAGAGCAGAGTGAGGAGGGGGTGGGGGTTCAAGGTTTGATGTTGATTGTTCAGGGAGGGAGGTGAGTGGAAATAGTCAAGGGGGAGGAAGGGGGGGGGGTATGTGCGGGGAAAGGAGGGACACAGTGCAGGCCGAGCAGGTTGGGCAGTGACGGGCCGAAGGCAGTTGAACGTGCAGGCGATGGGAGCGGCACTGCAGGGCATGGGGGATGGGGGACGGAGACATGGGGGAATGGAGGGAGAGGGGAAAGATGATTGGGGGGAGGAGTGATGGGGGATGGGAGATGGGGAAGGCGGGATGGGGGACGGGGGGATATGGGGGATGTAAGGAAGGGTGAATGGAAAGATTGGGGGAATGGGGAAGGGGGGAATGGAGGGAAGGGCGGTAGAGGAGATGTGGAGGTAGGGGAGGATGGGGGGATAGTGGGAGATGGGCATGGGGTGATAAGTGGGTACGCAGGGGGAGGAATGGAATCACGGGCATGTGCTGAGAGGCATGGGATAACAGGGGTAGGGAGGGTGGTAAGCAAATGGAAGAAGGCAGATGTGAGCAGAGCGTGCGTGGAAGCCTGTGGCATGCTGTGAAGGGGAGGGAGAAGGGAAGGAGGGGGGAGGGAGGAGTGAGGGGAAGGGGGATAGGGAGGTGGAGAAGGGGATGGGGAGGAGGAAGGGAAAAGGAGTAAGGGTGAAAGGGAGGCGGGTGGGAAGAAAGATTGAGAAGGGGATAGAGAGGTGACAGAGGGGGAAGGGGGAGTGAGGTGGGGAGGGGGAGGGGGAGAGGGGAGGGTGGGATATGATGTGCGGAGAGGAAGCAACTTGGGGCACGGTGCTGAGGCGGAGAGGCGGAGAGGCGGAGAGGAGGGGAGGTGGGGAGGAGGGAAGGCAATGAGGCGCACCGGCAGTGGTGGACTTGCCGACGCCGCCTTTCGCGGACGCCACAGCCACGATGTGCTTCACCCCGGGCAGCGATAAACTGTCGCCGCCGCCGCCTCTGCTGTTTCTGCCGGCCGCGCTTCTATCGCTGCTGCCGCTGCTCACAGCACTGCTACTCGAAATACTCCTGCCAGTGCAGCCTACACCCCGATCACTGTTGCTGCTGCATCCGCTGCAGGTAGTAGCGCGGAAAGCAGGGTGAAAAGACCGGTCCGGCTTGGGATCGGCGTGTGCATGCGATTCGCGCGGAGGAAGCGACCTGCCATGCGACTCTCGCGAAGCGGGCGAAAATTCAAAAGAATTTCTTAGGACAGTTCCAGCGACGGCTTGCCCGCTAAATCGTCGAAGCCAGTCTTCGCCACGGCCGTGCGACGCGACGCTTCGACAGAGGCTCTTGCACTGCCGCAGTGCGAAACCGCTAGACATTTTTCCTCCTAGCTACCAGGTGCGACGGTCGGGGAAACTTGCGTTTCCAGGGTGGGCTTGTGTTTCGGCCTTCCTGTTACTGTCGCTTCAGTCTGAGATTGTGCTACTAGGGGAAGGAACATCGATCTAAGATTGTGCTTCGGTACAGGGTATCCACTTTTCCTTCCAGGGCACGAGTGTACCCAACGCCTTGAAAGGAACAAATTTGGAAAACGTTATGTGCCCTCCACTCGAGATTGATTCCTTGTGATATTTGTAGGGCATAAACGGCCGAAAACGAAGCCTGCTTTTTTGCAACGTCGTACTCGAGCGACTCGAACGGTTCGAGTGACTCGAGCGAATCTAGTGACGCGCGACCAGCTGCGACTGATGCGATTCAGAGCAACATGCGAAAGGAGTCAACGTTTATGACTGACACCGACTCCGCTGTCGCTGGTGTGTCGTGTACGACGCTTGCGACGGCGTACGAGGCGCGGCGACTGGCGAAGGTCCGTGAGACATAACGACTGGTGGCGGAGCTGCGGATGGAAGCGCAAGAGTTGAAGCAGGCTGCACGACTGCTGGCAGCACACGTTGGCGAAACGGCAAAAGACGTCAGCCGCGGAGAACGTCGGTTTATGCCGGCGGTCCAGCAGGTAGTGGTAGAAGCGCGCGAGGGGGGCTGAGGCGTCGCGCGGGGGATGAGGCGCGCAGGGAGGATGAGGCGCGCGAGGAGAATGAGGCGCGCGGGGGGGATGAGGCGGCGCGCGGGAGGGATGAGGTGCGCGGGGGGGATGAGGCGCGCGGGGGAGATGAGGCGCGCGAGGGGGATGAGGCGCGCGGGGGGGATGAGGCGGCGCGCGGGAGGGATGAGGTGCGCGGGGAGGATGAGGCGCGCGGGGAGGGTGAGGCGCGTGGGGGGGATGAGGCGGGGCGCGGGAGGGATGAGGTGCGCGGGGGGGATGAGGCGCGCGGGGGGGATGAGGCGCGCGAGGGGGATGAGGCGCGCGGGGAGGATGAGGCAGCGCGCGGGGGGGATGAGGCAGCGCGCGGGGGGGATGAGGCGGCGCGCGGGGGGGATGAGGTGCGCGGATACTTTGAGGCGGGTGGGGAGCAAGCGAGGTGCCTTGCTGATGGATGCCCACGGGGGGGAGGAGGGAAGGAGCGGCGGTGGCAGTTTGCCCGCATGGCTGCATGAGGGGAGGAATGCCATTGCCTCATATTGCTGCCCAATCGCTGTTCCCTCAGCGCCTCCATCACATCCCTCATGCCCTCTCGTCCCACCTTCATCCTCACTTGCCCTGCCTTGCCTACCGCTGCTTCTCTTGCCCGCCCTGCCGCTGCCACCAGGGCCGTGGGGCGAGTGGAATACTGTGCGACCCGCCCCCCCTCGCACTCGCACTCGCCTGCCCGCGCACAGCATGGCCGCCGTGGCGGTGGCGGCAGCGAGCGCAGGGAGGGTGGCTGGCAAGGGGAGGAAGGGTGCGCTGGTGTGGGTGCCGCGGTGCTTCTTCCCGGAGGGGCTGGGAGGGGCGGGCAAGCAGTGAGGGGCTGGCGTGGGTTTCCAGGCCGTTTCTTGGGGTGGTGGGGGTGGTGGAGGTGGCAGCGCAGCACGGCACGGTGCATGGGGTCCAAATGAAGGGCGCACAGCTGTGCTCAGGCAGGTGCGGGTGGTGTGAGAATAAGCGAACAGGAATGAATGAACTAGCAGTGAAATGAGTACAAGTAGGAAACCCTAGAATTGTGTACCCCCTATAGGCTAACCCACTGTAGCCTACACAAGCATAACATATATAATGTTTGACACACCCCCATAGGCAAAGTGGGGGAGAACAAGGGGTCACAAGACCAGTCAAGCAAAGCAAAGCAAGCTCAGGGTGGATCACAAAGTCACCACACAGTCCGAGCACAAGAGCAGGGCCAGAGGCCAGTTCACATGCAGGAGTACAGACATATATATAAAACTAGACAAGCAAGAGCAGGTATATATATATGTCACAGTACAAGTGAAGTCAAGAGGAGAGCAAGTGAGGCAAGACAGGCACAAGACCCAGCTGGGTGCAAAAGCGCTGATGGTCACAAGGCGCGAGTGCCTTGGTGAACACATCAGCAGTGTTGGCCTCAGAGGCCACGTACGCAAGTCGCAACTGACCACGCTGCTGCAGCTCACGAGCAAGGAAGTAGCGGAGAGCAATGTGCTTCGTTCTGTGCTCCAAGCGCTGCTCTCGACACAAGGCCAGCATGGCCTTGTTGTCTACGTACAGCACTGGAGGAGAACGAGGCGGCTCTCCAAGGTCAGTCAGCAGGTAGGTGAGCCAGCGAAGCTCCTGTGCAGCCATGGCCCCGGCGTAGATCTCAGCCTCACAACTGGAGCCGAGAACCGAAGACGAGCGAGTAGACCGCCACGAGACAGAGCCGGAACCAAGGCTGAAGGTGTAACCCTGTCACGACCGCTGCGTAGCCTGGTCGTCAGCCCAAGAAGCGTCCGCGTGGCCGGTAAGGACCACTGGACTCCGCCCTCCAAGCACAAGCCCCATGCCCAACGTACTGCACAGGTAGCGCAATACCCTCTTCGCTGCAGCCATGTGCTCTGGTCTGTGTCTCCCAGGAGCAACATAGCGTGCAAGAATGCTCAGAGGATATGCAAGGTCAGGTCGTGTGCAGGTCATCAGGTACATGAGGCAGCCAACAAGCTCTGCATACGGACCACTCGACTCTACGGACTCATCCGAAGGCAGAGCTGAGAGTGAGTGGCGAGTAGGCAGAGGAGTGGCCTGAGGCGAGGAGTACGTGAAGCCGAAGCGCTGAAGGACCTGCTGCACCATGTGTGACTGAGTCAAGGTAATGGTGCGGCGTGCTCTGTCCCGAGTGATCTGCAAGCCAAGGTAGCTGCGCAGTTCACCCAGGTCTGTGCACGTGTGTCTCTTCAGCAGTTCGGACTTCACGTAGGCGAGTCCAGCAGTGTCCGCTGTGGCAAAGACCAAGTCGTCGACGTACACGAGGATGTAGAACGGCGGCAGTGAAGTGTCGGTGCGCAGAAACAGCGACGGGTCAGCAGTAGAAGGAGCAAACCCAAGAGCCGCAAGCGTAGTCCTCAGTGTGTCGTGCCACTCACGCGGTGCCTGGCGGGGACCGTAGACTGGCCGTCGGAGACTCCACTGGGTGCCAGGAGGGAAAGTCCCAGTGAAGCCAGGTGGACGGCGCAGCCAGATCTCCTCGTGCAGGCTACCCTGCAGGAACGCAGTGCTGAAGTCGAGAGAGTGAAGCTCGTAGTCGCGCTGAGCGGCTATGTGCAGCAGCACCCGAAGAGTGGTCATCTTCGGGGTGGGAGAGAAGGTCTGAAAGTAGTCAACTCCCTGCCGCTGACTGAAGCCACGAGCAACGTACCGCGCCTTGAAGACAGGTGGAGAGCCCGGCGGCCGCTTCACCCGGAAGATCCACATGCCACTGACGATGTTCGCCCCAGGAGGGGGAACTGCGTCAACGTAGGTGCCTGTGGACTTCCAGGAAGCCATCTCTGCATCCATAGCTGCCTGCCACTGAGAGGAGTAGGGACCCTCTACGGCCTCCGCGTAAGAACGCGGAGTCGGGATGTCTAGTGCATCCGGGTCTCCCTCAGGGGCAAGCAGTACAGACGCGAGATGAGGTGAAGCAGCCGCTAGACACTGTAACTCCTCCTGTCTGTCCTCTAGGACGTCCGTGCCAAGAGCACACTCACCCCCGACGGACGGAGGACAGACAGACGCAGACTCAGCAACAAGACCAGCAGCGTAGTCGAGACGACAGCGAGCAGCAAAGTCAACGAGCTCAGCGACTAGAGCAGACGCAGCAGTGGACTCAAAAGAGGGGTCAGTGACGAGAGTAGCAAGCAGACGCGTGACAGTAGGACTGGCAGCGCGAAGAGAGTCCGACTCAGGGTCGGCAAGCGCAGGAAGAGAGGACTCAGGAGGCGAAGGCAAAGGGGCACGCGGAGGAGCAGTGGACGGACGCAGAGACATCCGGTGCGTGCCAGGGACAGGAGGAGGACGCTGACGCGAACCGCGACCACTAGCGCGAGCAGCACGAACAGGCGACGCGGGACGAGACGCAGGCTCACGACGCTCAGCAAGACCTCCAGTAGGACCAGTGTAAGGAGAGGGAGCAGGCAGAGGAGAGGAAGGCTCCAACAGTGACTGCGACTGGACAGGCTGTGGACACTCTACCGAAGGAGAAAGACCAAGAACCTGCTGTAGGAGCGGAACGAAGTACGGCCGAGGCCGCGCGGCAGCTCCAGACTCAGCAGGGACAGCACCAGCACCCTCAGCGACAGCACCAGCGCCACCCACACCTCCAGCGGCAGGACCAACAGCAGTAGGCTCAGCACCAACGCCCTCAGCACCTCCAGCTCCAGGAGGACCCGCAGGTCCAGCAGCTCCGGGACCGGCAACACCCGCACCCTCGACGGTCGAAGAAGCTCCAGCTCCAGCTCCAGCAGCACCTCCAGACTCAGCAGCACGCCTCCAGCGGCGAGCGTACCACTCGCGCAGCTCCTGTGGAGAGAGGGGCTCCCGGCGAGACGCAGCAGCAGGAGAAAACCCAGGCTCAGCAGCTCCAGACGCAGCACCCCCAGACCCATCACCTCCAGGCACAGCACCCCCCTGCTCAGCACCCCCCGGCTCCGCACTCTCCGCAGTAGCACCCGCAGGCCCAGTACCCCCAGCAGTAGCACCCCCAGGCTCAGCACCCCCGCGCACAGCACCCCCAGAGTCAGCACCCCCAGGCTCAGCACCCGCAGCAGCACCAGAGTCACCTGTAACCTCGACCGGGTCAACGGCGTCTACCTGGGACACACCTGAGGGGGCAGGAACCTGAGGGGGGAGGGGGTCTACCGGGGGGGGAACCGGTACAAGGAAGTCCGGGGGAGGGGGGAGGGAAGGAGTGCGGTAGGGGAAGAGACGGTAGAAGGGGACTGACTCGTCGAACGTGACGTCCTGGGAGGACAGAACACGACGAGAGGAGGGGTGGTAAAACTGCCACCCTGGGGCGTCAGTGGGGAAGCCAAGGAAGACACAGGGAGCAGCACGAGGGGACAGCTTGTCCGCAGACAAGTCGCGGACAAACGCCCGAGATCCCCAGACACGGAACACAGACGCATCGCCAACCTTCCCTGTCCACAGCAAGGCTGGGGACATCGCAGGCCGAGAGACCCGGGGGTGAAGGTTGAGCTGATGCGCCGCGTACCTCACCGCAAACGGCCACAGAAAATGGGGGGCAGCCGCATGCATCATGGACGTACGAGCGACATCCATGACCATGCCAATGCGGCGCTCAGCAATCCCATTTTGCTGTGGTGAGTCCGGAAGCGTGAAGGACTGGCGGATGCCTCGCGCACGACAGTTGGCACGCAGAAGGCCAGAGGAGAACTCTCCGCCTCTGTCAGAGTGCAGACGCAGAACAGGAAAGTCCGAGCCGAAGTTCTTCCTGAGCTGGAGACGAGCCTCGCGGATCCAGACGATCAGCACCTCAGTGACCTCACCCTTGCTGCGCAAGGGGAGGACTGTGGTGTAACGCGAGTAGTCGTCAACCACCAACAGGAAGTAGCGCTCGTAATCCTGCCCACGGATGGGGGCTGGGCCCCACACATCCATGTGAAGCGTCTGCAGGGGAGCCTCTGTCGGGGGGAAGTGGGAGGAGTGAGGAGTAGCCCGAAGGCGACCCTCGACACAGGGGACACAGGAAGGTCCTGGCCCGGAGGGGAGAGGAGGGAGAGACTGGGGAAGACCAGAGACAAGGACACGGGAAGCCATGCTCCGAAGACGGGGCAAGGAGGGGTGGCCAAGACGGTGGTGCCACAGGAGAGTCTCGTGAGACAGGAGGCGACAAGTACAGGGGGCAGACTCAGGACCAGACCTGGACGCAGCAGCAAACACCTGACCCGACGCTGCTACCTGACCGGACGCGGGGACAGGAGGAGACTCAGTGGTCAAGGTGTAGAGGCTCGACCCCGGCCGACGCGAGAACGTGGCCAGGTGCCGGCCTGTGCGTGCGTCCGTGCAGTGGGTCACCCGCTGACTCGCAGGAGTGAACTGGTGAACCCCCGCATCCTGTAGGTCTGCACCACTCACCAAGTTCGTCGAGAACGAGGGGAGGTACAGGCCAGACAGGGTGCCCGAGGGGGCAGCCGGACACGGGAGGACAGTGGAGAAGTGAGCGAGGACAGGACCCCCAGAGGGGTCAGCCAGGGAGACTGCAACCGGCCGACCAAGCGGCGTGAGTGTGGTGCGGTCCCGAAAGAAGGAGCGAGAAGCCCCAGAGTCAAGTGTAAAGGTGAGGGAGGCCGAAGCCAACGCGGTACCTGAGAGCGCAGCCTCACCCGCACCTGAGGAAGCAGACTCACTAGCACCTAGAGCAGCAGCCGCACCTGTACCTGGAGCAGGAGACTCACTAGCACCCAGAGCAGCAGCCTCACCAGTAGCTAGAGCAGCAGGTCCTATACCTGGTTCAGGCGGGACGCACAGGTGACCTGCACGGTCAGCACTAGTAGGCAATGCATACATGGCAGTGAGAATAGCATCATAGTCAAGAGCATATATATCTACCCTCTGCCTAAGCAACTCCACCCAGTCGGGAAGCTCAGCCTCGTCGCCAAACACGGTACGCCAGGCGTCGCTCAGACGGGCGAAGCAGCGGGACGGTGTATGACTACGTGTCCCACAAGGCTGACCAGTCCGAGTACCAGTGCGAATCACGTAAGAGCAGCGAACAGCACTGAGAGACCCTCCACTCTGAGCGTACCACTCACGAAGCTGGCGAGGCGTGAGAGACACGCGAGAGGGTCGCGGGAGCTGCATCTCGCCGCCACCACGAGTAGAAGCAGCAGGAGTGGTAGTAGGAGTAGCGTCGCCACCCCTACAGCCCCAACCAGCGTACCACTCACGCAGCTGCTGCGGCGTGAGGGACTCACGCCGGCGTCGCTGGGGCTGCATTTGGCTCCGCAAGTAGAAGCAGGAGCAGGACTAGCAGCAGGGAGGCAGGCAGCCAGGCAAGCCAAAAGGCAGGCAGGCAGGCAAGCAGGCGACGCGCAGCGTGCTAGCAGGGCAAGAGCTCACCAGTGGTGGGAAGAGTAGGTTCGGCGACTCAGCGGCTCGGCAGCTCAGCGGCTCGGCGGCTCGGGCGACTCGGGCGGCTCGGCGGCAAGGCGGCTCAGCAGCAACTGCAGCTCAGTAGCTCGGTGACTCGGCGGCTCGGCGGCAGGGCGGCTCGGCAGCAACTGCAGCTCAGCAGCTCAGCGACCCGGCGGCTCGGCGGCAGGGCGGCTCGGCTGTGGGGCGGCTCGGCTGCTGCAGTGGGAGATGAAGGAGGAGGAGAAGCAGGGGAGGCCACACACCTGCCACCCCTCTGCGCCCCCTCAGGTCGCCTCGACAGGCGACGGGAAAAGGGGGGGTGGGTGGTGGGGGGGCCGGTAGGTGCAGCGGCGGGGCCAGCAGGTGCAGTTGCGGGGCCGGTAGAAGGGGACGGCAGGAGCCGTCAGGAGGGGACGGCGGGGCCGTCAGGAAGGGACGGCGGGGCCGTCACGAAGGGACGGCGGGGCCGTCAGGAGGTGACCGGGCCGCGACGGGGGCAGGCGGCGGGGCCGCGTAAGGGCCTGGGCGGGGCCGCGACAGAGCCGTCGGCGGGGCCGCGTAGAAGCCGGGGCGGGGCCGCGCGAGAGCAGGCGGCGGGGCCGCGAAGGAGCCGGGGCGGGGCCGCGTGAGAGCAGGCGGCGGAGCCGCGTAAGGGCCTGGGCGGGGCCGCGACAAAGCCGTCGGCGGGGCCGCGTGAAAGCCGGGGCGGGGCCGCGTAGAAGCCGGGGCGGGGCCGCGCGAGAGCAGGCGGCGGGGCCGCGAAGGAGCCGGGGCGGGGCCGCGTGAGAGCAGGCGGCGGGGCCGCGACAGAGAGGGCGGCGGGGCCGCGTCAGTGAAGGCGGCGGGGCCGCAGGGGAAATGGCGACCCGAGGGGTCGCTAAAAAAAAGATCGCGCCTCGGGGGGCGCTTCGGTGGGCCCAAAAAAACGGTCCGTAGAAGGACCCGCTCTATACCATGTGAGAATAAGCGAACAGGAATGAATGAACTAGCAGTGAAATGATTACAAGTAGGAAACCCTAGAATTGTGTACCCCCTATAGGCTAACCCACTGTAGCCTACACAAGCATAACATATATAATGTTTGACAGGTGGTGCTGCAGAGGCATGGGCGTGGGCGTGGGTGCAGTGAGGCAGGGGGCGAGGAGGATGGAGGCGGTGAGGCCAGCAACGGTGCATGCAGGCAGGTAGGTAGCAGCAAAGGGGAGGGGGGACGGTGCAGCAACGAGAGAGGGCCAGGTGGGGCGGGCATGGAGGCAGAGCGGGAGAGGGAGAGGGAGAGGGAGAGGGAGAGGGAGAGGGAGAGGGAGAGGGAGAGGGAGAGGGAGAGGGAGAGGGAGAGGGAGGTGATGTGGGCCCCGCAACCGTTCCTCACTGCCGGTGGCGTGCGCGTGCTGCCCTGGCAGGTTGTGAACGCAGTGGTGTGCGGGGAGGGGAATCGCAGAGAGGAGAAGGGGGAGACATGGTTGAAGGGCTGGACCAAGCTGATTGGAAGAGGAGAAATCAGCACGGGACAAAGGGTGATCAACGTGCAAGAGGGGAAGGGCAGAGTGCATGAGAGGGAGGAAGGGAAGGGGGGGAAGGCAATGGTAGGCTGTTATGGGCGTGAAGGGATTTCCTTTCCAACGGGAGGGGGGGAGTCACAAGGGGGGGGGCACAAGGAGGGGAGGGTCAGGCGCTGCACAGGGGAGAGGACAGAGAGGACGATGCACACTGTGGTGGTGGTGGTGGCGGCGGCGGCGGCGGCGGCGACGGCGGTGGTGGTCGTGGTGGCAATGGTGGCTTGATGCTGAGCTATGTGGGCATATACGCTCTGGACGGCGAGCGTCCGGCATATATACGCTAGCGTCCATACGCTGGACGCTCGCTGGACGTTGGACGCTCGCCGAAAAAATTTCCGGGCAGCCCGACGAAAAAAATCGCGCGACAAATTGAGACATGCGATTTCAGCGCGAATGTAATTTCGAAACAGATCTGGTTCAAAATCGCCAAAACAGAACCAGATCCAACACATTGACCATGCAATTTCTCTTTTTACCGCATTTCACCCCTCCCAATCTAGCAAAGCCAACCCATCGTTGTCAGTAGAGCTACACTGTGAGATCCCCGATCGATTCTAGGGGGGGTTACAGGCGCGTTTGCCTGGGGGGTTATGGGCGCACTGACCCGCTACTAAAACAAGCCCTTTTATCCCAATGGTCTAGTGGTTGGGATTCTGACATGGTATCAGAGCGGTCTCGGGTTCGAATCCCGGTGTATGCACATGTTGGCCATTGCCACTGTGCTCAGTCCTGGGCCTCCCAGTGTGGGGGGTTGTCAGTAGAGCTACACTGTGAGATCCCCGATCGATCCTAGGGGGGGTTACAGGCGCGTTTGCCTGGGGGGTTATGGGCGCACTGACCCGCTACTAAAACAAGCCCTTTTATCCCAATGGTCTAGTGGTTGGGATTCTGACAATCGTAAGGGCGGGTCAAACTTTGTACATATACGGAAAATTTTCAGCTCAGTTACCAGAATTAAGCATGTAACATAACTTTTTACGTACGAAAACAGTTTGACGCGAGACTGTACATAAATGAGCTCATTTCGGAAACGTGCCCCGGGACGTGTGGAACACATCCGAAGGTTCGTCTCCCAAATCGCTTCCCGTCAAAGTCGTCAAACAGTAACGCCCCTTTTTCGCCAACACCGTTTCGCCATGATATTATCCCTTTCACCTTAGATGCGGAAACCCTCGCAGCATTTGGTAACTCCCTTTCCCTCCGCAACGATCATGTGCCTCGTCAAAAGTCCGCACTGTACACTCCGAACTGGACAGGAAACCTTAGTACTACGCCCTGGGGTACAGTCAAATTTGACAAGTGTGTTGACGTAAAAATAACGGAAAATTTGGGAGTGTGCAAATTTGGACCCGCCCTAAGTAGATCAACAAACTCGGCAGGCACATATCCCAGCCAGAGTTAGTCGACGATTAGGTTTCACTAACTCACCTACGACCAGATTATTCGTAACAGCTAGCTCACCTAGACTTGCGTTTAAGCTGACGAAATTCGCCTTTATGGCATCCGTTTAGAGAACTCCTTCAATCAAGCATACCATCTAATTCCAGCATAAATGACGTTTACCATCGGGATTCCATGGCAGAATCCTTGTGGCGCTCCCTTTTCCCCTCTTCCCCCCTCCCCCCGCTTTTTTCCACCCTGCCCGAAAAAAGGTTTTTAGTCTGCCCGACCCAAGCGTCCAGGGCTGGTCATCAAGGCGTCCAGCGTATATACGCTAGTGTCTAGACGCTAGCGTATGGGACGCTGGACGCATCCATGTCCACATAGATGCTGAGAGTGCTGCCACCAGTGCAGGTGAGAGTGCTCACCGGCAGTAGCGAGGGATGGAGATAGCGGGTCGATGGTGGTGGGGGGGGGGATCCATGCGTCGTCTCACTGCCTCACATCACTGCCTCACATCACTGCCTCACATTGCTGCACTGATCAGAGCCATGATGGCGGGGCGCACCACTCGGTGTGTGTCGTTCCGGGCGGGGAAGAACCAGATCTGCGCAGGCTGCCTCTTTTCCAGGTAGCCTTCTCGCCTCAGCTACTTTTCTCGCCTCAGGTACCCATCTTGCCTCAGTGTCATGGTTGCCATGCACTGCCATTGTTGTTTCAAGATTCTAGTGAGGCTTAGGAGCCATGGCTAGTGAGATCGAGGGTGAGGAAAGTGTCGAGAGAGTTGAGAAGGATAATGATTCAATAATAGCAAAGAGATACAACATATAGTCAAGAAACTAGAGGTGCACCACCAAACAGAAGACAAGATAAATACACTACACCTAAACCACAAGCAGTTACATAAAATAACTTTGACACGCCCTCATAATTGCTTGTGGGAAGAAGTGTAGTTATCGCCCCTTGAAGGGGTACACCAGGCAGAGTGCGCAGCAGAACGGGAGAGGGCAGGCAAGGAGGAGGAGAGAGAGAGGGAGAGAGAGGAGAGGAGGTGGTAGGCTCTGGTTGGTCACCCCCTCCATCCCCTCACCCTCCCCCTCCCCCTCCCCCTCCCCCTCCCCCACACACTGCTGCAGGAGCAGCAGAGGGGGGGGGGGAGAGGAGAGGTGGAGGGACGGCTGCTGGTTGGTCTCACACCCGCCACCCCAGTGCCACTCCCCCGGCTCCCCCACACCCTCACACCCTCCCCCCCAGCGTCAGCTGCAGTAGCGGGAACAAAAGGAGGAGGAGAGGGGGGTGGGGGGGGGGGGGGGGGGGGGCGACGCACGGCCTCCCTGGGCGCCAAAGCAGGCGGCAGAGGGGGCGACGCCTGACCCCCCCTTCCAGGTCGGCCCCCTCAGGAGCCGCGACGGGTGACGGGAAAAGGGGGGGGGGGGCGGTGCACGTGCCCCCGGTGTGCCGCGGCTGGCGACGGGGCATGGCCGCGGCGGGGTCGGGGCCGCAAGTGGGTGGGGCCGCAGGTGGCATCGGGGCCGAAGTGGGCGACGGGGCCGTAGGTGGCGACGGGGCCGCAGGTGGCGGGGCCGCAAGTGACGACGGGGCTGGGGCCGCAAGGAGGCGACGGGGTCGGGGCCGCAGTTAGGTGACGAGGCCGGGGCCGCAGGTGGGCGACTGGGCCGGGGCCGTAGTGAGGCGACGGGGCCGGGGCCGCAGGTAGGCGATGGGGTCGTAGGGCCGCAGGTAGACGACGGGGCCGTAGGGCCGCAGGTAGGCGACGGGGCCGGGGCCGCAAGAAGGCGACGGGGCCGGGGCCGCAGGTAGGCGACGGGGCCGTAGGGCCGCAGGTAGGCGACGGGGCCGTAGGGCCGCAGGTAGGCGACGGGGCCGGGGCCGCAAGAAGGCGACGGGGCCGTAGGGCCGCATGTAGGCGACGGGGCCGTAGGGCCGCAGGTAGGCGACGGGGCCATAGGGCCGCAGGTAGGCGACGGGGCCGGGGCCGCAGGAAGGCGACGGGGCCGGGGCCGCAGGTAGGCGACGGGGCCGTAGGGCCGCAGGTAGGCGACGGGGCCGTAGGGCCGCAGGTAGGCGACGGGGCCGTAGGGCCGCAGGTTGGCGACGGGGCCGCTGAAAGGGCGGCGACGGGGCCGCGGAAGGGCGGCGACGGGGCCGCGAAGGGGCCGTGAGGGGCCTGAAAGGGCGGCAACGGGGCCGCTAAGAGAAAGTTAAGGGGCACGCCACGGGGCGTGCCGAACACAGAGTAGCAGCGGAAGCAGTAGGGTGGGTCCACAGGCCAGGACTGTAATCGCTCTGATACCATTTCAAGATTCTAGCGAGGCTTAGGAGCCATGGCTAGTGAGATCGAGGGTGAGGAAAGTGTCGAGAGAGTTGAGAAGGAGAATGATTCAATAATAGCAAAGAGTTACAACATATAGTCAAGAAACTAGAGGTGCACCACCAAACAGAAGACAAGATGAATACACTACACCTAAACCACAAGCAGTTACATAAAATAACTTTGACATGTTGCCATGCACTACCATCCACCTCTGCCCTCCATTGTTACGTTGCTACTAGGGCGTGTAACCATTTTTCCCTGGACGGGCCGAACTGCGGACCGTCCGGCCTCACGTGGGTTGTCGTCATGATGTTCATGAAACCATGTGCGACGTCGCCAATATTATGAACCATTATGACACGTTCTCTCAATTTCAACGGTTCAAAATGTGAACCGTGGACAGTCCGAAACCCAAACGGATGGTCCGCCAATTCAGTGCAGGGATTGGCAAACGAATTCCATTTTGCAAAACTGTTCCAGGTGGTTTCAATGTTTGAAATCGAGTCGTGCTATATGGGCGAAAATGCGAGACTTTGTGTATTGGGTTACACATGTACTGTGCACTGCGCAAGGCTACAGTACTCGCGAATGTGGAGTACCGGCAAAAAGTGACATGTTTCTTTCCGGACGGTGGCAAGGTCCCGAACAGTCACATCGGACTGTCCTGTTCTCGATATTAGAACCGTCCGTCTCAAAGTATACAGACCGTTCGAATAAATAAATAAATAAATAAAAATAAACAAAATGCTTGAGATTGCCTCGGATTGCTACTGATTGCCAGTTTGGCCACTTGTTCAGCCATAGTCAAATCTGACCGCATATCGCCACATATTACCACGCATTTTCACATGATTCATGGTTGACTGATTTTGCCCCTGTTGCCTAGCGTTGCCAGGTATTTCCATATGTTTCTCAATGTATCTCTAGATGTCTATGATTTCCCACACATACGGTACATGTTGACATGTTGTTACATACAGACACACATCGTCGTGCATTTAATGATGTTGCCATGTGTTGCCATGCCGCACCTACACATATTCTAATAGGTATCGGAGAGTGTTCTGGTGTGCCGAGGCATGTGTGGCTGCAGCTTCTGTAGTGCCAAGGAGGGGCAGGAAGCAACACGCTCCTTGTAGAGGTAAGGGGTGGAGCGGAATGAACCCTCAGCTGTGGGTTAAGAGCATTTGCCTGGGTGGACAAGCAATCACCTTAGCTTTGCCATCTTTGCCATCATGCTCACAGTTGACTCACTGCCTCGCACATACACTTGCCTGTGCTCACCTGTTGTCTTTCTCATGCATGGCATTGCATGAGACCTGTCATTCACGTGGATGTCGCCACTCATTTTCCAGGCCACAGGCACCGTCTCCCTCAGTGGCGCAAGTTCAGCTTCATTGATGCTGAAATACATGTAGACTTAGCAGGTATAAAAATGCATCGGTTGAAGGGTCGGCGCTACAACTTACCATATTCCCCCAGATATTACACCCCCTGATTAAACACCCACAAGTGGTTGATGTAGGCCTTAGAAGTCAGCGAAGAAAGGCTGATTTAGGGCATATTCCTACGCTCGTATCAGAGAAACCTCTTGTCAACCTTGCCTGGTAAAAGTAGCGAGGGTTTTTGGGTTTAGGAAAATTTCAGTGGTGAAAGTAGCGAGCTTGATAAGAGGTTGGCCTGATAAGGGGCCGTAGGAACATGCCCTTAGGTACAAAAAGGCTGAGATTTCAGACCTTTTTTAGAACTGAGGCTGATTTTGCAGCAATGTGCTGGAAAGAAACAGAAAAATTTATTAGATTTGTACCGTCATACCCCGGATATACCCCCATGGGGGGCACTAATAAAACATGTTTTTTTTAGGGGGTTGGCTTATAATACAATAAAATTATAAGCGTCGGCATTTATGTTATGTAAAAAAATAAATTTGTTTTTAAATATACCAAATCGAAGCATTCTCAAAGGCGGATTCACCTGAGTCGAGAACGTTCGACTCTGTGCATGCTTTGCGCGTGAAACGGCCAACAAGGCGTGGCATCACGCCTTCCACGCCTTGTTGGCCAGGCCAGGTTCATCGAACGTGAACCTGGCCCATGCCAGGGCACACGTACTTCGCATCACAGTGGCCCAATCAGGGTTGCATGCGATCGTGGGAACGTCGTGGTTCAGCCACGACGTGCCCATCAACAGCAAGATTCCCTGCAACTGAGGCAAAGAGCTGCCCCTTTCAGCTCCTCTGCGAGGAATCTTGACTGTGGCCACACTTTCCCCGCAGAGGAGGCCGGGCCGCGAAACTGAAGGGGTCTCGGGCGAGGGGTTCATACGGCCCTCATTCCCAACTTTTGGTTCAGTTTTCTTCGTTCGTTTGGCCTGCCGTAGCCATGGCGGGCCTTCCAGGCACGCATTTCTTGTTCCGCCGCCAACCTGCTGCTACAGAAAATACCCGCAGAGACACTCGTGACTACTCTCAATGGCAGACGCGCACTGCGCCCGTCCCTCCACCACAACCAATAGTGCCTCCCGTTCCTCCCACGCCTCCTACGCCTCCTACCCCTCCCGCTCCCCCGGCGCCTCCTATTCCTCCCGTTCCTCCGGCCCCTCCTGACCCGCCTGCTGTTGGTGTTCCGCGAAAGAGGGTTCTACAGCTTCTCCTCCCCCCTGGCTACTCGGCGTTTGACGCCTTCCTGTCCGAGCCTGAACGCAGCGACGGCGAAGGATCTTCCTCCGCACCGGAGCCACGATGGGGAGTGCCGCCTGATTGCCCGTTGGACGAATCCGCTACCGGTGCCGACGACGACGTGGAGTTCTGGGCTGCTGACGGTCTCCCCGAGCACCTTCCAATTCCCTCCTTTCTGTCAAACATTATATATGTGTTATTGCTGTGTAGGCTGTAGTGGGTTAGCCTTTAAGGGGTACACAACTCTAGGGTTTCATACTTGTACTCCAATGTTTCATAGTTCAATCACTTCTGGATTCTGACATGGTATTAAGAGCTTAGGTTCTAGACCTAAGGGCCCACCGTTCCGCTAGAGGTGCCCTTGTGCGCCCTTTTTTTTAGCGCCCTCGTGCGCCTCTCCCCTAGTGCGCCCTCGTGTGCTCTCCTCTCACGCTGCCCGTGTGCAGCGCACTAGCAGCCCGAGCGCGGCCCCGCCGTTTTAGCGCGCGTAGGAAAACCGCCGCCTAGGGCGGCCCGATTTTTTCTCGCGAGCCCCAGCAGGCCGTCGCCCGTAGGCCCCGCTCGCCCCTAGGCCGACGCGCGACCCTCAGCCGCCCGCCCCCAGGTCGCAGCCAGCGCGCCCAGAGCATTGCAGCCCCGCCCGTAGGCCGCCGCGACGCTCCTCTAGGCCACCGCCCGCGCGCTAGTCACGCCCGCTACAGCCGCCCACGCGCACGCCCCTTGTCGCGCACCGCCGCGTAGCCCAGCCCGAGCCGAGCCGCCCAGCCCGAGCCGAGCCGCGCCGCCCGAACCGAGCCGCGCCGCCCGAACCGAGCCGCGCCACCCGACCTGAGCCGCGCCGCCCTACTGTGCCCCACTTGCAGCAACTCCTGTTCATGTTCCTGTCGTACTACTGCTGCTACTGCTACTGTTCCTACTGCTACTACTGCCACTATGGCCACTCCCTCTATTCTCACCTTTGACGCTGAGGGCCGCCCGATTAAGTTTGAATTTTGGTTAGATGACCTCCACCTGTTCCTCCAGATCACTGCCAAGGACGATGTCTCCCTGTATGACCACACGTCAGGCGCTGCTCCCGTACCTCCCGCTACTGCTGACAGTACTGCTCGCTCCCAGTGGCAGACCCGTGATGCTCACGCGCGCCTAGCCGTTCGCAGCCACCTGCCGTTAGATGAGCGCGAGCACTTCGGCCAGCAGAAGACCGCTAAAGAGCTGTACGACGCAGTAGTCGCGCGCTACTCCTCCCCTGCCACTGCTGCTATAGGCCGTCTCTCACTGCCCTACCTCTTCCCCGACCTGTCCGCCTTTGCCACTATAGCTGACCTCATCACCCACCTCCGTACCAGTGACCTCCGCTACCGTGCCGCGCTCCCCCCAGATTTCCTCGCCAAGAACCCCCCCCGATGTACCTCACACTGTACCACCTTGTCACCCGCCTCCCTGACTCCCTTCGCACAGTCAGGGACCAGTTTCTTGCCCTCTCCCCCACTGACCTCACTGTCGACCTCCTCGAGAAGGAACTCCTAGCAGCCGAGAAGAGCATTGTAGCTGTAGGTGCCTCTCGTGGTGACCCCCGCACCCCCTTCTTTGAGGGGTGCTCCCCCTCCCCCCTCCTCCCCTCCATTGCATCTGCTGCTGCTGTCGACTTCCTCGGAGCTGAGAGGGTCGGGGCCGCGTCTGCTCCTAGTGGGAGGCGCAAGGGCGGCAGGGGCAAGGGGGGCAGGGGTGGTGGAGGTGGAGGCGGGGGCGGCGGCGGTGGAGTGGGTGGGGGGGGCGGGGGTGGTGGCGGAGGTGGGAGTGGCGCGGGTGGTGGGGGGGTCAATGGCGGCACAGGGGGCAGTGGCGGCGGAGGTGGTGGGGGTGGTGGGGGCGGTGGTGGCAGTGGTGGCGGCGGTGGAGCGGGTGGCGGGCGCGGTGGAGCGGTGCAACGTGGGGGGTTCGGCGGTGGCCAGAGGCAGCAGCAGCAGCGTCCTGGCGAGACTACCTCGCCCCAGCAGCTCCGTGAGTGGTACTCACAGCGTGGGGGGTTTGGGGGTGGAGGTACCTGCCCGTACGTCATCCGCACAGGTGACCGCACTGGCCAGACTTGTGGAAAGTTTCACACGGTGCAGCGCTGTTTCTTTCGCCTCGATGACGCCTGGCGCGAGCAGTTCCCTGACGCCTCTGAGCTGCCCCGCTGGGCTGATCTGCTTAAGAAGGGAATTGATATCTTTGCTCTTGATTATGATGCTATCCTTGCTGCTATGTATGCATTGACTATTAGTGTTGAGGGTGACTGTTACCTGAGTGTACCGCCCGACCCAAGTATTGGGACCGGTGAGGCTACAGCTCTAGGTGCTAGTGCGTCTGCTGCTCCAGGTCCTAGTGAGGTTGCTGCCCTAGGTGCTAGTGCGTCTGCTGGTACCGCACCTACTGAGGCACTGCACACCTTCACACTGGACTCAGGTGCTTCCCGCTGTTTCTTTCGCGACCGCACTGCCCTAGAGCAGCTCCCTAGACCGGTTGCTGTCTCCCTGGCTGACCCCTCAGGGGGTCTGGTCCTTGCGACCTCCACCACTGCCCTCCCTTGTCCTACTGTCCCGTCTGGCACGATGTCGGGCCTCTACCTCCCCTCGTTCTCTACGAACTTGGTGGCGGGTT